AGCTGCAGACAGGGCAAGCAGAGCTGGCACGGGTCCCCTCACCAGCCCCACCCTCCCTTCCTCACCTTCTGTGAACCCCAAAGGGCAAGAAGCACGGTCTGTGGAGACAGATCTGGTTTGCTTAGGTGCTGCCTGCGCCTATGAGGCCCAGAATACACTCCAAAGGGCAAGTTACGCAAAGGCCTAGGGTCGGGTTCCCACCCTGCTCGGAGCAGAACAGAGGTCCTCCCCTGAGGCCTGGCTACACGCGGGTTCCCGGGTTCCGTGACTTCTGGGCCCCAGGAACCTGCTCTTTATCAGGCCATGGGTAGTTCTGGCATCTTAGCTTCAGCCTGGGACAATTGAAAACTGCTTACTCCATCCTCCCTCAAGGAACAAGAGGCCCCGGGGTTCCCCTCTGCCCACTCCAATAGGGAGAAGCACCCAGCCCAAAGGGGATGGTCTGCCACACTCCAGTGCCGAGGTTGCTCCAGCTTAGGGGTGGGGTGGGGCCCGCCTGGCATGCATCCCTTCCGCAGCAGACTCGCAGACTTGCAAGCCCTGCCTTTACCAGTGCGTTCTGAAGCCCAGCCGAGGAGAGGCAAGAGGTGTCTGGAGCCCCGCGGGAGCCGGAGGAGGAGCTCAGAGGAAGAGCTCTGTGGAGGATCCGCTCTGTGGAGGATCCACTCTGAGGAGGAGGGGGTAATGCGAGGAGCAGCAACTCTGAAGAGGAGGGCACTGGAGGAGGAGGTGGGGATCCTCTGTGGAGGAGGAAGGGACTTTCTGAGGAGGAGGATCTTCTCCAGGTAGGCGGGGACTCTCTGGAGAGGAGCGAAGGTCTGAGGATGAGGGGGAGGAGTTTGAAGCTCGCCTTGTGGGAAGGGAATCCGAAATGAGGATGGGGAGCTCTGAGGAAGAGACCTCAACCCTGACAGGTCTGAGGTCAGAGCCTTGCAATCTCTCCGAGCACCCAGAGCCCACTTGGGACTTATTAGCTTATGCTTCCAGAGGGGTCCAGGCTTACAGTGGGCCACAGATGGTTCTTGGGGACACTGAAGACAGAGGGAACGGCAGCGAGAGTTTAAAAAGCAGCATAGGGAAGTATTCGTCCTTTACACACAAGGGAACCATGATGAGATTAACAGTTAATTTCCCATCAGAGACTGTGGAGACCAGAAGACACTGGGTAACACAAGCAAATCCTGAAGAATGTCATCCAAATTTTGTCAAGAAAAATTATCCTTCAGGAATTAAGTAGAAAGCAGGACATTTCCAGATGAAAGCTGAAGGAATCATTATCAGTGGGCGTGCCTTACACTGCACAGTAGAGGGAGTTCTCCAGGCTGAGATGAAGTAATGCCAGAAGTGAAAGCCACAGAAGAAATGAGCACGGGGCACCGTGATAACACCATGAATAAAACTGTTAGTGTGCCTCAGGGTTGTTATTCCTCTCTTTTTTTTGCCTGTATGGCTACAAACACCAGGCGTAAAACAATAATTGCCAATCTGTGTTCACAAGTATAAAATGTATAAATATGCAATCTGTGGCAATAATAGTATAGTGGGAGAGAGACAGAGCTGAAATGCACAGAGTTTGTGTACTACAGATAGTAAATTGATATTCAAATAAGATTTTAGTGAGTTTAAGGTGTTGATTTACACCTGGAAGCTCACTGACCTGAGTCCTGGAGTGTGTTTCATGGCAGAAGCAACAGATAAGACCTTGCTTTAGCAATGTGGAAGATGAGAACCAAATCCCAGAAGTTATCCTCTGACCTCTATGGGGGCATATCCTCCCCCCACCCCATGCACACAGCCTAATAATAAGTTTTAAAAGATGTTGACTTAGTCCCCAAGGTAAATGATGGGAAAGAAAAGTGTACAAACATGAAAAGATAAGCACAGGAGCACTAAGAATACCAACTAAGTGCAAAAAGTTAAAGGTGGGGAGATAAGGAGAAGACAAAAGGAACGCAGAAACAAAAAAGTTAAGTGGAAGAAGAGGCAAGTGTCCTTCCTGGCTTGCTTTCTACTGGTGTGGTATGAACCCTTGGACCAAAAGCGACTCTGGGGAGGAAAGAGTGGATTTCAGTTTACACTTCCAGGTCACAGTCCATCACTTAAGGAGGTGGGGCAGAAGCTGAAACAGACCATAGAGGATGCTGAACACTAGCTCACACACAGGGTTATGTTTAGCTAGCTTTAGATCCAGCCCAGGACTTCCTGCCCAGGAAGTGATGCCACCTACATTGTCTGGGCCTTCGTATATCAATTAACAATTAAGATAACTGCAAAGAAATGCCCACAGGTCAATATGATCCAGGCTTCTCTCAATCAAGACTCCTTTCTCAGGTGACCCTAGACTGTGTCAAGTTGACAGCTAAAGCTGAGAGAGCAAGGATTTCCTCTCAGTAATTAATTGAAGACTAATTGAGGTATATCTGAATTGAAAATTAATTGAAGTAAACCCTCTTATTGGAAACAGAGATGGACAAGTTGGTTAAGAAATGAGATCCGACAAGGTTAAGCCTGAACTAGTCTTTTCTGGAAGCTGGTTGCTTTCAAGGAACTGAGATGGGAACCTACCTAACCAGTAAAGTTATCCTGCCATGGTGAAAATTCCTGAAGATCTGAAAGATCCAGATGTATTCCAAGTCCAGCTACTGCTGCTAAAATATCTGTTTGGCCCACAGGGATCTCAAATCCCTCACATGGAACAGGTGAGTCAGGCCATCTTCCGAACTCTCTGAGGTCTTAGTTTATGGCTCTTATGACCACAATCTTCCGGCCAAATGGATGCTTCAGTCCATGGCTGAGAAGTACCACCTGGGCCAGAAGAGAGGAATGAGAACGCTGGAGGAAGCCATGAAGACCCTGGAACTAGGCCTGTGTTTGGAGTGAAGCCAGTTTCCAGTCAATGTGACAGATTAGGCTGTGGCTACTGTTGGAGCAATTCT